GAAAAATAAGAAGTCATGGTTCAAAGTGGATATTTGACGATATTGACAAACTATCTGATTCATTTACACATGCCCAATGTAAACCAAACATTAGAGGACAAAAACTTCATCCAAAAGCCATTTACACAAGCAGATTGATTCCTTATCTTAGCAACACACCAACAGTGCATATTAGAGATGATTTATTTGCGTCTGGTTAGTTTTTTTATTTGAATTTGAGCAATTTGCATCTTTTGATTTTTTTGAGTTTTTAACGTCTTTTTTAATTAGATAATCATACCTGTAAACACAGCGATTGAGATAAAAATGAAAAAGCTCGGTTCTAGTTTCTCCCATAGTGATTTTTAGTTAAAAAGAATATTTTTCATATCTACCATGAGGTTTAATAAGATTATTGAGAAAAATCTAGTTCTCCGTTTGACAAGATAAGGTTAGTCTAGAGGATATCGTTCCCCAAAATTTAAATAACGATAACAATAACTACTATATTAGGATTTCTGTTTAATAATTTAAAAAAATGTTACATTATTTAAAAACACATCTCTTATCAAAAAAATTTGCCTCAAATTTGGACCACTCTAATAAATACTACGGTCTAAACAATATATCGTTATGCCGTAATATTAATAGGAAATAGAATTGCAATTTTGGGCAAAATCTAACTTTGTCAAAATAAGGTTTTAATTAATCGCATAGTCGCTAAATCGAGTTATTGTATAAAGTTAGGAATGGTTATGCTAACGTCAAAGTTTTTTCAGTGTATTGAGAGTTATGATCAAAGCTGACTGACTCGGCTAGCTGGCTATGCACAGGCACATCCTAGTCAGCTTGGATCACTAATTGAAAGACAGTTCTACTGTACATAGCAAATTTTTTATTAAAAATTGAATCCGGAACAGCAAACAGATATATTTCTTGAAGTTTTTTTGGATAATCTAAAGTGCAGACCCACCACCATTCGAGAGCAAATAATACAGTCGTCCCACTTTATAAGAAATCAAAATTTGTAATAACAATTGATTCCAAATACAGTCATCCTCTTATGAGAGCAAGCTTTATAAAAACATTCCTCTATATTACCACCCATATTTAGAACCAGTCATGGTTAAACTAATAAACAAATAACTTGATATAAAAATAACCTCCTCTCTAAAAGAATAATTTTTGCAAAATTATTTATGTTCTTAAAAAAAGGGACGAAATATTAAATTTTTAAATTATAAAAAAATAATGAAATTTGTAAAATTGTATTTTTTAAAAGAAATATTTATAATATTTAATAATAAAAACACGCAAGCAAAAACAATGTTTTTATTGATATTGTAAAAAAGAAAGTCGAAAAACTATAAATATCAAGTAATAACAAAAGTTCTCAATGATTTATATTATTTTCCAAATTTTGTTGAATATAATTATACTTCTCAAGTAGCAATACTAAAGTTACAAAGCAATTGCCTATATTAAATAACAAGCTTAATTAATATGCAATAAATCATTCAAAATAATATTGTTAATATCTCAAAAATAATTTGAACTTACAGTGGCCTCTCAGAATATTGTAGACACTTTTTAAAATACAATAAAGCAAAAACCAATAAAAAAGCAAGATTTATGATTCTAAGCTAATAGAATCATTGAAACATGTTGTATATTATATCAAAAATCATCTAATTTGGTTAATTGGATGCAGAGATATTCACAAAAAATTATTTTCTTCAAAAAAATTTATCCTAATTTTGTACATTATCTTTGAGATGTAATATCTCTGTATATAGTAATCCAAATTAAATGATTTTGATGTCATTAGATGCACCTTAGCTTGAATAATTTGTTGATAAATTATATTTAATTTGATTTATTGGATGTGAAATTATTTGCATCTTTGTAAATAATATTTTTTCACATAAATTTCAGTTTTATTTTTTATATTTATATTTATTTTTTTTGAATTAGTTATTGAAATCACTTAAATTTTGATAAAATGTACAATATATTTCAATAATTCTATTAGCTTAGAATTATAAATCTTGTTCTTTTATTAGTTTTTGCATTATTGTATTTTAAAAGTGTTTACAATATTCTGTGAGACCAATATATAACAAATAATGACTATACTATATAAAAAGTAATCCTAGTTGTATAAAAGTATATAGATTCAATATTTTGATACTATTTTTTAAGTATGTATTGTTACAATAGTAACATAAAAATTGTTAATTTCAAAAATAATTGAAAAATACAAAATATTCAAAAATATTCATATAATAAGAATC